AGGTATACACATGTCATGGTGGTTTGCTGTCTTCATCCCCCCATCACCTACATCAGGCATTTTTCCCTGTGTTATCCCTCCCCAACTTCCCTGCCCACTGCTGTCCCTCCCCTAGTTTCCCACCCCCCAACAGACACCAGTGTGTGATGTTCCCCTCCCTGTGCCCATGTGTTCTCATTGTTCAGCATGTGCCTGTAAGTGAGAACATGCAGTGTTTGGTTTTCTGTCCTTATGTCAGTTTGCTGAGAATGGTGGTTTCCATATTCATCCATGTCCCTACAAAGGACACAAACTCATTGTTTTTTATGGCTGCACAGTATTCCATGGTGTATATGTGCCACGTTTTCTTTGTCCAGTCTATCATTGATGGGCATTTGGGTTGGTTCCAGGTCTTTGCTATTACAAACAGTGCTGCAGTGAACATACATGTGCCTGTGTATTTATAATAGAACCATTTGGACATAATTTTAAAACTTTGAGTAAAAACCAGGGTGTACACTGGATCATGTGATAAGAGTCTCCAGCTATAATAGTAAATTCATCTATTTCTCCTACTAGTTCTGTCATTTTTTACTTCACATATTCTGATACTCTGTTGTTAGATACATATACCTTAAAGATTGCCAAGTCTTTTTGGAGTGTTGCCTCCTTTATCATTATGTAATACCCCCTTTATCTCTGGTAACATTCTTTGCTTTGAAGACTGTTCTGTCTGGAATTAATATATGTGAATACGGCATATCTTTCTTCATCCGTTTACTTTTAATTTATATATTTCTGTCTAAAGTCATTTTTTGTAGACATCATAGAGTTGGGTCTTGTTTTTTGATCTGTTTTGACAATCTGTCTTTTAATTGCTATTTTTAGACCATTGATGTTTAAAGACATTATTTCTATAGTTGGATTAATTAATAGCTACCATATCTGTTAAAGTTTACTCTTTGCTGCCTTAGTTCTTTGCTAATATTTTTGTCTTTCATACTTTTTCTGCCTTTCGTGATTATAACTGAGCATTTTAATGATTCAGTTTTCTTTCTTAACAATCATAGTTTTTTCTTTTACTTTTTAAAGTAGTTACGCCAGAATTCACAATATGTATTTATAACTAATTCAAACCCACTTTCAAATAACTTTGTACTGCATCACAGGTAGTGAAAATATCACAGGTAATGAAAATATCTTATAATAACAAAATATTTTAAAGTTTTCTGGCTGGGTGTGGTGGCTCACGCCTGTAATTCCAGCACTTGGGGAGGCAGAGGCGGGTGGATTAGTTGAGGTCAGGAGTTTGAGATCAGCCTGACCAACATGGAGAGACCCTGTCTCTACTAAAAGTACAAAAATTAGTCAGGTGCCATGGTGTGCGGCTGTAATTCCAGCTATTTAGGAGGCTGCGGCACAAGAACTGCTTGAACACGCGGGAGTGGAGATTACAGTGAGCTGAGATTGTGTGCCACTGCACTCCAGACTAGTGACAGAGTGAGACTGTCTCAAAAATAAAGTTTTTCATCCCTTATATTATTGATATTATTTATTTCGCTTATATATAAGCGTGTATATGTGTGTACATGATCAAATGCATTATTATTTTGAGCAAATTGTTATCTGCTACCTTAATTAAGAATAAGGAAAAGTTTTTATTTTACCTTTATTATTCTTTCTCTGATTCATTCTTTCTCTATATAGATCCAATTTTCCTACCTATGTCGTCTTCCTTGTTTCTGAAGAACTTTTTTTGTTTTTTTAATCATTTCTTGGAAGGCAGGTCTAGTGGTAACAAATTCCCTCATTTTTTGTTTGTCTGAGAAAGTCTTTATTTCTCCTTCACTTTTGAAAGAAAATTTCACAGGCTATAGAATTTTAGCATGGTGGGGTTTTTTTTCACTTGAAACTTGAAATATTTTACTCTACTTTCTTCTCGATTGTGTGGTTTCTAAGGAAAAGTTGGATATAATTTTTATTTTTGCCCCTCTGTAGATAAGGTGTTTTTATCCTCTGGCTTCTTTCTAGATTTTCTTTTTTAACCTTTGATCTCTTGTACTTTGAAAATGATATGTCTCGGTGTAGTTTTTTCTTTGTTTGTTTGTTTGCAGTTTTCCTGCATGGTATTCTCTGAACTTTGGATCTGTAATTTGGTGTATGATATTAATTTGGGTAAATTATTTGTCATGAGTACTTCAGATGTTTCTGTGTTCCTGTTTTTCTCTCTTTTCTTTGTATTCGCTTTTCACTTATGTTATACCTTTTGTAGTTTTTCTGTGCTTCTTAGATATTCTGTTCATTTTTATTCAGTCTTTTTTCTCCTGATTTTTGGTTTTGAAACTTTCTATCATATTCTTAAACTCAGACTTTTTTCCTCAGCCATATCCAGTCTACTAATGTCTCTTTTTATAGTGCCTGTTGGTTCTTGCATGTTGCCTACTTTTTTCATTAAAGCTCTTAGCATATTAATCATAGTTTTAAAAAATTCTGGTCTGATAATTCCAACATTCCTGTCATATCTGACTCTTGTTCTGATGTTTTTTTCAGTCACTTGAAATTGTGTCTTTTGCCTGTTAGTATGCCTTGTAATTTTTCATTGAAAGATGGACATAATGCACAGTTTGAGTCTCCCTAACTCAAAATTCCAAAATCTAATATAGTCTAAAACTGGAAGCTTTTTAAGTGCTGACATGATACTCAAAGGAAATACGCATTGGAACATTGCAGATTTTGGATTTTCAGATTAGGCATGCTCAACTGATAAATGTAATGCAAATATTCAGAAATCTGAAAAATATCCAAATATTAAAATGCTTCTGGTCCCAAATATTTTGGTTAAGGGATACTCAACCTATACTGGGAAATGCAACATTTGTGAATGGGCCTTTAGTAATGGTTAGGTGTGAGGAGAGGGGAAATGTTCTATAGTTTTAGGATTAGGTTTTAATCTTTTGGCAAGTTTATGCCACTGGACTACCTTCATCAGTGCTTCTATCTTTCCCCTACGCTTAGGTGGACAAGGCTGGCTAGAGGGGGCTGGAGTTTGGTATATCTCTTTCCTTACATGGAAGATTAGAGCTGGCTGGAAGGTCTGCCTATGCAGTAATAGGGAGGTGATCTGAGGGTTTCACTAATTTTTAAGCAGACTTTCAAGAATTCTAATATTTCTAGCCCCAACCTCAGCCTCACTGCCAGACATATGTGAGCCTGTTGAGAGTTCTTTAGTAGACTTCTTTGCTTTTCCCACTGTTGTCTTTGGATTTAGCATTCTCAGGTCCAGTGACATGCCATTGTACATTTGTTATAGAAATATATATGCCTCTTTTAATGAATTCAATAAAATCTGATATCTAATGAGCATGGTGAATACTAATGGAGGAAAATATTTCAAGGTATCTGCAACAGTGATATATGAAATAATCTTTCGTTTCTATTGCTTACAGAGTCTCAGGTATTGCTAAACTACTGTGGTGTTTTTCATGTAATAAGGAAAGGCTGAAGTTCACTTAGAGGATAACTTAAAAAATGAACATGTCCTTTTTAAAAATCTGCTTTCCTGGACCCCTGAATTATCTCCTTGGGCCAGTTAGAACCCTTGGAATAACTGGAACTTAGTAGTATATGAGGCCACAATCGTGGTTTCTTGTATTTGCCCGTTTAAAATGAACTTTTTTATAGTGCATAATCCTGATCATCTTTTTCATTCATTTAACAAATATTTATTTATTTATTTGAGACAGAGTCTTGCTCTGTTGCCAGGGGCCAGGCTGGAGTGCGGTGGCACAATCTCGGCTCACTGCAACCTCCACTTCCTGGGTTCAAGCAATTCTCCTGCCTCAGCCTCCCGAGTAGCTAGTACCACAGGTGCGTGCCACCACGCCCAGCTAATTTTTCATTTAACAAATATTTATTAAGTGTCAACTAATTGTAAGATACTCGACACCAGAGATACCCTATTTAACAAAATAGATAGACCACTGTCTTCATGAAGTTTACATTTCTGTAGGAATATTTAATCGGTTGTAGTATAGCCTAGATTAGAATAACATAGTTTGTATCTATCACCACCCCTGGAAAAGTAACTGAATTCCCACATGTTTCTGATGTCATTACTTCACTTGAAACAGAACTCGGAAGTTTTTAAAAATTATTATTACAAAAGTAATGTTTATTGCAAAAATTAGAGAAGATTCATAGGCAGAAGGAAATAAAAACTCATATACTTGTCAGGATTAACCACTGTGAACACCTTGGTATGTATTTTAGTCTCTTTTCTGTACACAAATACATATGTATGCATTTAAATATGCATAATTTCTTCATAAAATTTGATTATGCTATAAAAGTTATATACATTTTTGTCAAATGTTTGTTCCAATTTTAATGTTTATATAATATTCAATTTTATGAATACACCATAATTTATTCCTTTAAGTGTAATTTTTTTTTCCTGATTATTAAGACTAAAAAGAGGCTGGGTTCAGTGGCTAACATCAGTAATACCAGCACTTTGGGAGGCTGAGGTGGGAGGATTGCTTGAGCCCAGGAGTTTGAGACTAGCCTGGGCAACATAGCGAGACCCTAGCTCTACAACAAGTAGCCAGGTGTGGTGGCATGCACCTGTACTCCAGCTGCTCAGGAGGCTGAGGTGAGAGGATTTCTTTAGCCAGAAGGTTGAGGCTGCAGTGAGCCGTGATTGAGCCACTGCACTGTAGCCTCGGTGACACAGTGAGACCCTGTCTCAAAAAAAAAAAATACTGGAGTAATAAATATATAATTTTGAACTGTTAAGTAATCTGTGTACCTTGGTGGGCATGTAATATGAGTTAGTTGAAGCAGGGAAGAAGGTAAAAATGTTTAGTACTGTTTTAAGTTATGGATTGCTTACATTCTATCTTATTTTAAAAGTAACAAATATTTAACTCTGACATGATTTTCAAAAAAATATATGAAAATCTCACTGGAAATATATTGCCTTTGTTATGTTTTGAGCATTCAGCTAATCTCTTTGTTTACAGCTGGGCTCAAAATGCAGAGAACTCAAAGATATTCATTTTGGCCAATGTTACAAGATCTCAGATGAAGGCATGATCGTCATAGCTAAGGGCTGTCTGAAATTACAGAGAATATACATGCAGGAAAACAAATTAGTAAGTACTTGTTTTCATCCTCATGTTGTTCATTTTGTTGCTTACCTTCAAATTCTTTCTATTATTTATAATTTTTTTTTCTGCTTGTTTTCTTGTGGTGGTTCAAATACTACTTGTCAAAAGCAAAAATTCTTTTAAAGTGATGATTTTATAACTTGATCTTTTAACTGAATAGATAGCATTTGTATGTGCTACTTGCATGTTAAAAATCCCTCATTAGCATATGCTAATGTGTCTTTTCGAATGTGGACAGTGAACTAATGCGGGTAAATTGGAAAAATCAAATTTATTTGCCAAACATAAGTTTATGGTTGAAGTTCTTTCTGTATCTCTAGGGATTATAATAATTCTAGACAATTAGAATTTTTTAATGTCCAGAAAAATGTACTCTTGTAAAATAGAGCCTTTTACTTAGTATGATAAAAAATGGGATTCAATAAATTAGAGCAGATAATATGAGCAATTATGTAGATTTTATATTTTAAGCACATACATGGGTAACTCAGACACATTTAATGTATAATACTTAAATGTCTTTTAATCTTTTTTATTGTGAGGTAATTCACATAAAATAAATTTTCCCTCTTTAAAGTATATAACGCATCAGTTTTTAGTATATTTACCATGTTGTGCAGTTATTATAAGTGTCTAATTTTTGAATATTTTCATTGCCCCTAAAAAAACCCTGTGCCCATTAGCTACCACTCCCCATTTTACCCTTCTTCTAGTCCCTGGCAACTGCTAATCTACTTTCTATCTCTATGGGGTTTTCCTATTTTAGATATTTTGTATAAATGGAATCACACGACACATGGTCTTTTATTTCTGGTGTCTCACTTGGCATGATGTTTTCAAGGTTCGTTAGTGTTTACCATGTATCAGAGCTTTATTAATTTTTGTGGCTGAATAATATTCCAAAGCATTTATGTTTTTATTTGATAGATACATCATATCAGTTAAAAGAAAAAGTTGTCACTAGGAGACACCAGTAGTAGTTCTCAAAATTGAAAAATAGCATACATACAGTCATGGGCTGTATAACAATGTTTTGGTTAACAGTGGATATCATATACAATAGTGGGCCTGTAAGATTATTATAGTGTATTTTTGCCTTTTCTATGTTTAGATACAGAAATACCATTGTGTTACAGTTGCCTACAGTATTCAATACAGTGACATGCTGTTCAGCTTTGCAGCTTAGGCGCAGTAAAAACTATACCCATATAGCTCAGGGCTTTAGTAGGCCGTTTGGTCTAGGTTTGTGTAAGTACATTCTATGATGTTCATACAACTACAAAATTACCTAATGACACATTTGTCATAATATTTTCTTGTCATTAAGCAATGCATGTCTGTATTTGAAAATGTTGTCAGGGTAGTCCTGAAGGTATAGTATACAACAAAGAAGACTTGCTTTTTTAGTTGTACTTCAAAAATAAAGAGATCTTTTTATTGACCCTTGGAATTTATAGCATTTAATAAATATTACGTAATAGTCATTCTTGAGACAGTAAGATTTGGTAAAGAGAGTTAGGTCTTCTGTGTTAGAGAGACTGAATTTTTGAATATTGATATTTCCTCACTTGCTTTGTGACCCTGGGAAAGTTACTTGAGTTCTTTATACCTCATTTGTAAATGAGGTTATTTATATCTGTTTATTTGCTGGTTATAGTTTTGAGAAATAAATGACATAGTATCTTTAAGTTGTCTGGTGCAAACTATGACTTAGAGGAGACATGTAAAATATAGTAGTTTTTATGGCATCACAACTGTATTTGTTATCTAACTTTTGGGTTTCACTTTACATCCAAGATAAATTAAGGGATGGTGATCTCAATTTAGAAATTTTCTATTCCTCAAGAAATAGGATATTTGCAGACTTGTATTTTTCTTGTTGAATAAGCATAGAGAAATAGTTTTATTGGCACATCAAACAATTTTTAGCCAGTGGTTTCCCAAAGAAAGCAACTTGTTTTGTTTTGAAGGTTCTTGTTCCGTTCATGTTTGTTTTTTTCTAATATTTTGGTACATTGAAAAGATGTTATATACTTAAATGCTAAGGGAATCAATTTTGTATTTAGTTTTTTTGATTAAACATTTTTATTTCATTGGAAATTTGAGGTAGTTTTGCTAAGTCTTAAAGGCTAATTCATTACAGTTTTTCGCATTTAAGTTTCTTAGAAAAAGAAATGTAGAATCATTTGAGCTATTTATTGGATAATTGAGATATTGATAACTAGCCTCCCATAGGAAGTTTATATTTTTAAAATTTATGAAAGAAGGAGAAAAATTTAAATACTTGCAAAGCTACAATTTTAAGTAGTTAGGATGTTTTTATTTTGACATGTATTCTTAATGTAACAACAAATATTTTAAATTAGCAACTATTACAGATATATACAGAGAACACTGTGTCAGAAAGAATGCCATAAGAATCTCACCTATGCTTTGACAAATACTGAGCATTAGCCAAATTATTTTGCTAATTCTCTTAATAAACTGAATCTTCTCAAAAAGTGTTAGAGCTTAATTGCATAGTCTAAAAATAATCATAGCATAGTTTTACTATAAACTTTGCTGACTAAAATATGAAGTTGTTTTGGTAGTATTTGAGTATACATACATCTTTTCATATTATATCTTGGCCTTTAGATGGCAGCATTGTCTTTGTATATTTCTGTGGCATAGCTTTTATGTCCTTGATGTAACTATAAGGATGTAATGCCTCTACAAGTTTCTGCTCATGTTATGGTTTATTTTACACTTTTGTCCTTTATGTGACCTTAGTGGGAACATTTCTTCTTAAGTAATTCACAATATTAGTTGTATCTAGAATGCTACAGGATGAAGTTACCATATTATACAAAGTGGTAATTCTTATTTGTGGCACTGGTTTAAGTAAGATAAACTTTAAAATAGGGGAAGGATTCTAGTGTTTATGAGGGAGAAGTTTTATTCATGTGGAAAGTGAGGACAATGTTTTGCCTTAAATGAGTTATAGTGAAGCAGAGGACTTAGATATAGAATTTTCCCAAAAGAGAATGAGTTTCTGTTTTAGTTATTTTTGAGTGAGAGAAATGTGATGTACCTTCATAGGTAAAGTTTGTATTTGCTATAAAACTCTTGTGTTGACTGTACAAATAGATTTGAGGAGTACAGCTGTAGTGAGGGTCTAGCATATTGTATGTATATGTCTCTTCTAGAAGTAGCTTTTATATCACTTCTGTATAGTGCATGCCACAAAGCTATTTTTAAGTCATATTTAGTTTGAGCATATAGTTATTAATGATCTAGAAACCTCAGTTAAGCATATTTCCTCTGCTTCTTACTTTCCCTGCACCAAATTCTGCTTCTCTACTTTTTGGACAGAAGCTTTTTGGGTGTCTTTTTATTCCATTGTAAAACAATGAGGTCAGATAAATTATCTGTCATTTGTTATGTAGGCTGATGTTTTAAAGTACTAGAATTTTATTTCAAAAATAACTTCTGTGCTATGCCCTAGTGTCAGCATTTTTGATGTAGATCTGTATATATTATGTGTGTATTTGGTCTATTTTTTACATTTTCTACTCTGAAGAATTGGGCTGTAAACTATTATAGATTACTCAATTGTCAGTAAAATAGTAATGTACTATAAATAGATTTCAGAAGGTTGTAGGGAAATGATGAAATTTCCTCATTGAAAGTTGATTTCCTGAAAGTTAATTGTGACTGTTTACTTTTTCAGTTTCTTAGTTTATATTTTACTAGTTTTATAATTTTGTGACTTCTCTTAGAGTCCTTTGGCTGCTGCGGTAACAATATTCTTTTAAATTTAATTATCCTGTGGAGGCTTACATGAATGATATAGGATCAAATTCACCTCTCCAGGCTTTTTTTTCCCCTCCCCAGGCTGAAAGCATTTTAAGTGGAGATGGAGGCAAACACCATATTTGAGTTGCACTGAATTCATTTAAAACCTTAATCCTGCTGTTTCTTACTCAGGTGACTTGCTTTAGTTATCTTAATTTTTACAAGGAAGGAAAGATCTTTGTTTTCCTTCCTTGCAGAAAGGATACAATGCTACTTCATACACGTTCTTATGGGGATCCGACTAAATGCGATTAAGAGGTAAAGCACCAAATAGGTTTTGTGCCCCAAAACACAAGAAGGCTTCAATAAAGGTTTTTATCCTCTCCTATCAGGAGAGGATATTGAAGTTTATTATTTGCTTTCTGCAGTTTACTAATTTGAATTGGGCTGTATCAATGCCTAGTATCACCTAGTCTGATTTCACTAGTTAGCCACTGACAGTTTAATGTTTTATTTTTATTTATTATTTATTTTTATTTTTATTTTTTGCTCTTTGCTGTGATTTGAGGCTGTTGTAGCAGTTAGCTGAAAAGATTGGTAGCCATGTTGATAACTAGAGTAGTATATATGATAAACATTTGTGTCAGAATTTAAATAGCAGTAGTTAATTCAGCATATGTGAAAGCTTCCATTTCCTGACTCTCTTACTGTTCACCATAGAGTTAATATATTAATGGATTTAAATATAAGAGTTAATAAGGAGATTGTTTGTCCCCATCCCTACTATGCTCTTGATGTCTTATTTCTCAAATACTCCCTGTGAAGCAAGTTTAATTGTAATACCAGACATAAATAATTTACATTTTGAAGGATTTTGTAGAAAAGGGCTAAGTACTCACTTTAGTCTCCAAAATCATCGAGCATATACATTTGCCTTCAGTGTTCTTTCCCCTCTTAATGGATGGGACATTTACTTAAACCCAGAATGGCAGTTTCCAGTGAACAGTGATATTTGAATATAGCGTTCTAACAGAGTTGACTTAAATATACTGAACCTCATCTTGTTGTATACGATTGTCTTTGTCCATTTGGGTTGCTGTACCAAAATACCATAAACTGGATAAATTATAAACAACAGAAATGTATATGTCACAGATCTGGAGGCTGACAATTCCAAGATTAAGGCACTGGCAGGTTTGGTGTCTGGT